CACACACACACACACACACACACACACACACACACACACACACACACCAACAGTAAAAGTCATGAAACGTGTAAATATCCTAGAGTTTTATGTTCTAAAATTCGTTCATATTTTTATTACTGAAGAAACACTATAATTATTTATTTCAATAATCTGTTCAAAATAATGAATTCAGTTACTTTCACTCAAATATGGACTTCTTGTGTAGGCTGATTGTGTTTCTATGTCAGCATCTGTGCTTTTGTGTGCATGCCAGTTTGTGTGTGGATGTGTATGCGCATGTGTATCTGAGCATGTGTGTTGACAGATGATTGATGCTCCTGGCATTGTGGATCTGCTGTTAGTGTATTCTTATCCAACGCAGCAGCACGATGCAGATCATATCACACTCTACAGTATACAGATATTCTATACTTAGTCAATACTGGTGTGTTGGGAGCAGGAGACAACCTCCGGGTCTGAAAAGTGAAGCCAATGCAGAAGTGCCTTAAACTTGCATTCTTTCTGCTGGCCATCAGGGGGCGACTCCTCTGGGAGCAAACATGACCCTACTTCTCACCTGATTATCACCTCAGTAAACATTGTGAACATGGGTCTTCTTTATTAATACAGCGTGATGGTCATTTTGTAAATATTGGTCCCATTTAGTGGCTACCTTTTGATTGAGATGTTGAAGAGCCGTGTATATCGCCTCTACGTCACTCCTCCGCAGTATAAAAATACGGTCGCTTCCGTCCTCTGGTTGCTAAAAACCAAGATGGCGATAGGCGGTTGTTATAGAAGTTAACGTTAACCTTGAAGTCAAGATGAAATGAAAAATGCCTTTTTAACCACTTTAGATCACATCCCCATATTGTGCACCTGTACAATACAAGCAAAAATAAAAATACGAAAAATAAATGTCTTTGTATTTCTATATCATCGTTTTCTTCCTGTAAAAACAAAATATGTCGTGTGTTTACGTAAGCTAGTACCACCAATTTCAACCCAAACTATCATGACATCCATCCATCAATCAATCAATCTGCAACTTCTAGCGATAAGGGAGGCGTGTGTGGAGCCGCAGTAGCTACATTCTAAGCCCACCCACTTTTTTTGCGGTCCAATCAAATGCGGAGGATTTGATTTAACTCCCTCTTGTAATTGTACAACGCTGAAATCGTACATTTCACTGGGGAGTCACAGTATGGAAATGTTTCCGTTATGTTGCGTATATATTTTTGTACCTGTAACCTCTTCTGTGTTGGCGGACGTTAGACGGTTGCCTTAACGTTTTGTTTCTCAGATGCAGAGCGATACTGAAAGTGCAAAGGAATTAGACATCATAGCCTTAGTGTGTGGTTAATATATCACAGCTATGAACCAATCAGATAGTTACGACTAATACTAGTTTTAAAATTTGACAACACGCGGAAGTCAAAAGTGAGGAAAACACGAGGAAGCAATACTATTGGTCAGCCTTTTCTCAACTGAAGGGGGTTGGGCTAATCATTGATGCTGTAAATGCTGCAGTGTGTCTTTGTCACTGGTTGTAAAAAAAAAAAAAGAGTGAAAAAATGAAGCACAAATTGCCGAATGTGAAATCTTTGACTCCGTCCTCTGGATGGTTTCTTGCACACACATGTATTATATAATTGCTGTTTAAAAAATGTGTTGGGTGTTGTGTACGTGTGTCATGAAACATGTAGGCCAGGACGAGCTTAGAATGTCGCTACATTTTATTACACTGCAGCTCTGTGACTCACTCGGCTCTCTTCTGGTTGACTTAACACAGCCCCCCCCCCTCTCCTCAATGGACTTGACTCATCGTCACCACAAATGTTTCTTTGAACGTGTAGTGAAGTGGGTTTACCTTTTTTTCCTGTCATCAGCACATTTAGTGTCCCGTCATATGAATTTGGACGGACCCTCGAGGTGTCCACATCTCTGTTGTTTATTTTAGCTGTTAAACCCGAAACACGAGGGGCAAAGCGGTGGCTGATGGAATCCGGTGCAATATTGTGCAGTAATCTAGACACCACTCACTCCTCGCCTGTGTAAAATACCCCAAATTACGAGTCACTCACAAATAGCTGAGGTTGAAAAGAGATGCGGCCAAATGAGCGGTACAGAGAAGAGCTGAAGAGCAGCCCTTCAATGGCGTAAAGATCAACGAATATATTTCCATCAATTGAGATCTAGTCAGTGCTAGAAAGCCGTTTGCTTCCACAAACCTCAATGCTTGAGGAGTTGAATCTGATAAATGGGTTGGAGAATATTTCTAAATTAGTGAGTACTTTACAGTCCTTCAAGGGATATTTACCCTTTAAAGACAAGATGGAGGAACTGTGGCTCTATATTTTCTTCTTCTGCAGTCTCTCTGCTCTTCTTCGTATGGTTCAGACGTGTGTGGGATTTTTCCCCCCCGCTTGAATAACCTCTTTTCTCTCTCTTTTGTCCTGTCATCTTCTGAATGTTTTTTCTCCTTCTTTGAATTAAAGCTTGGAGCAGCAAACAGTGCAGACAGCTGTATCTGCTGCTGCTGCTGCTGGCATTTAGGAGAAGTGCTCTTCTAATTCCCTTAAATAGTGACTGCATAAGAGACACGGAAATAAATAGTGTGACGCGGTGTAGAAAAGAAACTGTATCTCTCTGACTTAAAGGACTCGGGAGTGTTTGTGTCATCCGTGTTTTTTAATGTTCCGCAAGGAAGTCGAGGTTTTCCAAGACTGTGATTCGCTCACAGACGTGTTCATGATAGAAACCTACCTTTGTGATACCCTTTGATTGTTGCTGTTTAAAACATTCAGATGCTAATTAAGGGGAATCATTGGGAAAATCTTACTGCAAACAGGGTCTCCTCAAGCGTCACCATTACCTCCATGTTCTGCTTGCTTAGGCTGCACGTTATTGAGGAGCAACACGTTCCACTGGAGGGAATCATTTGAGGGATTAAATCAGTCGATAGAAACCATCGCAGGGGAATGAATCTCTGTCCTTGTCCTCTCCTTTCTCTGTTCTCCTGCTGTCCTCTTCCTAGGCTTCTTCACTACAGTGGTTAGAATTACAAATCAACCCTGCCCTGCATTTTGCCAATTTTTTTTTAATGGCAAAATATAGGGATAAGCACATTCTCAGAGGGGGGGTATTTTTTTTATTTTTTAGCTCTGTGAGAATTAATCCACTAGAAATGAATGAGCCCACAATGGCATGAAAAGAGATGAGGGGAAAACAGGTTGAGATGGACGTTAGAAAGATGGATGGAAGGATGGCGGCAGAAGGAGGCGGGGCTTGCGGAGCAGGGTGGATGGTGTTTCCATCTCTGAACCCCACCTTACGGGTGCTCGCAGGAAACCCCTTCCAGTGGCTGCACACGGCACGCAAGCGCTACAAGGCTGCAGCACGACACGCACACGTAGCCTATGGTGTAGGAGGATGATGACAGGAGAGGAGGAGGAGGAGGAGGCGGGGGGGGGGGGGAGAAAGCCAGTGAGTGAGAGAGAGAGTGAGTGAGGGAGGGAGCGCGAGGAAAAGGGCACAGTGAAAGGGTGAGATAAGCAGCGCCGAGCAGCATCTCTTGAGCACATTCAGCTCACAGCAGCTCAGGAGGCAGGACGGCAGAGTAGAGGGGGGAGAACACCTTGCACCTCACCAAAGGGGGCGACACCACACCTCTCTCTCTCTCAGACACACACTCTTGCACGTCACACACACACATTTGTGAGGAGGCGTGAGGCTCAGGGGGAGGAACACCACACCACACGCACGCTGTTTTACTGGCTTAGCTGTGCTTTGGAGAGCTGTCTCTTGAAGACTGGACCAGAGCTGTTTCCATCCTGCTTCATCCATCCTTTCCTTCCTTCCTGCTTTACCATTCCTAGAGCTCAGAAGCGTCTCTCCTGTCGGCCAACCCCTTCGATCATTCGGACTGATTTGCTCTCTCTGTCATTCATCTAACCTCTGATCGGCGCATCTCTCTCTCTCTGTAACCATCTCTGCCTGTCTGTGCTTTCACTCTATTCAGCCGAGAGACCAAGAGACACACTGAAAGAGCAACTAATCCGACTGACTGAGAGACCGACCGTTCGACCGTGATCATGAACTTCCTCCGACGCCGTCTCTCGGACAGCAGCTTCATGTCCAACCTGCCCAACGGCTACATGTCAGACCTCCAGAGGTCGGACCCGGCTGCTCCTCCTCCCCCCACCGCCACCTCCACCTCCCATCAAGGTGGCCCCTCAGCCGTGGCCCCGGCCCCTGCCCTGTCCCCGACCAAAGCTCCGGCCCCGTCCCAGGCTCCCGCCAGCTCCCCCGCCGCTCAGGAGCGGCGTGCGAACCCGCTGGCTCAGCCACCGCCTCAACAGGCCCCGTCCTCCTCCTCCTCCTTCTCCTCTGGTGGCTCCTCTGGCTTCTTCAGCTCCTTCAGCTCCATCACTAACGTGGTCAAACAGACCGCCGCAACAGCCGCCGTGTTCGTGGAGCAGACGGCGTCCTCTCCCTCGCTCTCCAAGAAGTTCAAGATCCTGTTGGTCATCGATGAGCCCCAGCACGAGTGGTAAGTGTAAGGATGCAAGTGACTTCAATGACGGGTGGAGTGTTAGCCAATCGACTGATGGGAAGTGGTGACGTTAGCTGGCACGGTGATTCCGATTTTTGGGACGCTCTTCATATTTGGTGAAAGAAATATTTGTGTTATAGTCAGCCAGAAGGAATATGATTCACTGTTAATTAGAAAAAGCTAACTTACATGTGGGCGCATTGGCCCAGCGCTGACTGACACAAGTGATTGATTTTACACGAATCCTGAATGAACTCTTACGTCCCTTTTTGTTTGTGTTCTGTGTCTCTGTTTTAAAATGTTGTTTTCTCTCCTCTCACTAAAGTTGCTCCCAAAATAGAAAGCGCTCTATTAATCTCAGGCAGGAGAGCTTTTCTCTCTCTGTAGTTTGGATTCACACATCGCACCAGCTAGCGCCGTCACCTGCCTCTGTTTTCGTGTGTTTACGTGAACCTTTATGACGCCATGTGCGTGCGTGCATATTCTAAGGTCCGTGAGTGAGTGTGACAGCGCTATGAGCAAGTGTGATTTCAGCCCTTGACAGCACAAGTTGGCTAACAGGATATTATCCTCAAGCTATTAACTCGTATATCATGAACAGGCATACAAGAGCTCTGCATAAAACATCACCAACACAAGAGTAAACCCCTGGCTGTGTATATACTGCCACTATCCCGCTCGCTTTTCTGTTTCCTGCAAATCACATTTTCACACTATAAAGGTTTACTGTGTGGATGTCGATGATGGATTTTACAGCCGTTTATTGCCGCCATTATCACTGTGTAATTTCATCATCTCAGCCCTGTACTGGATGGAGATGTGATGTCGGAGCGACAATTTTAACCTTTTACAATTTAATGGACATTCTGAGCGTGTTTACTGTGGCTAACAAAAACCATGTAATATGGTTCAACGCATTGCAAAAAAACAAAAGAGTAAGTGTTTCAATCTGCTGATGAAGACTATGTGTCATATGGTCAAAAGGTCCAGAACAAGCAAAAGGAAGGCCTTGAGTTGAGATTGGTTTGTTATAACTTTGCATGGGTTTGGGCTATAGGATTTTTGGAAGCTCACTCTATTCTGTTTGGAAATGCATCTTGGTAGTTGCAGATAGACTTGAAAGTTCTAGCTCATATAAATATATTTATGTTTTAGTGGGATCTTGCCATTGTAGTTGTCTGATGCTGAGATTTAAGTGTCTCATTTTGCCACAAACCCCACTCTCTTTAAATGAGACGGTATTGAAATGCTATAGTACTGTACTAGTTATCTATAATCCTGTCTGAATTACCCCGGCATATGCTTGGATAATAAAATACGGTGCTATTTATCATTGACTAAGTAATGTCTGAGTTTCAGACACTGACTCTTTTTCCCTCTTTAGTGCAGTTGATATTGCTTCAATCTGAACAGGATTATCTCCATTACGGTGCATTATGCATGTGTGTGTGGAGGGATGCACGAGTGCTGAGGTTTCACCGCACTGAACCTTCTGAATGTGACCGGCAGCTCTACATTCTGGTAATCCTGTGTTCTCTCGCTGTGAGTGTTTTGGTGGCTTATGATTGGATGATGTGGCGATGTCTGAACGAGAGACACTGCAGCTCACGCTCAGAAAGAAGGCGCTCGAATGCACGGCTTTACCTAATGAAGTCCTGCTCTTACAAAATGTGTCAGGACCACACATCAGAATTATAGATCTGGATATAATAATGCGTTTTCAGACTCTGGTCAGTTGTATCGTTTGTGTTTACTAACTGTGAGAGCAAGTTCCACCTACTGTACATAGCCAGACAAAACATGTGAGAGATGTAGCCTGTCGTTGCTGAAACCCCTTATGGCCTGCGACTGTCACTTTAAGTGACTTGTAACCACCGGTAACAATGTGGTTTGACTTGCATGAAGAACTGTGGTTTTCCAAAGGGGAGATCTAATTACTCCACATTTGTGAGACATGTACAGTATGCATAGAGATAGCTGAGTTTGCAGTGACTGCTAATTCATGTAGCAATACAAAGGAGGAGCAGTGTTTCCCATTAATTACCAAGACGAAGCCCCGCCACAGTTTCATAATGAACCGCAAATAATGTGTGCGCTTCTCAACGGGCGGGTTCAACACAGTCTGCAGATCAGGGACGGCCCTGGGCAAGATACTGAACCCCAAATTTCCCCTGAAGGCTGTGCCATCAGCGTATGAATGTGATGCGAGTGGTCAGAGAACTAGAAAAAAGGCGCTTTATAAAAGCTTGTCCATTTACCATGAAGATTCGGACCAACAAGCACAATCGATAATGACATTGGTTTTAATAAAATAACACCAATTCCCATCAATACACACACATGAATCACAAGCGAAGTTTGATGAATAGTCTAAAAGAGAAATACGTGCAATTGGAATTGGTCATTTCCACCTGTCACTTACAATCAAGTGGATGATAGTAATAAGAAGCAATGAAGCTTTCATTTTCCCTTGCTCGGTCTTTCTTTTTTTAAGTCCTCCTGTGTGCACTAATTTGCCTTTTTAATTAAGCCTCTTTTTAATTCTTTCTAAATCCATCTAAACTTTGCATATTGAAATAGACAGGGAAACTAAAGATGCAGTTAATAACGTGCTATAACTCTAAATAACGCTGGCACCCATTACAAAAGTACTAGCAGTTACATAAGCCACCACAGGTATCAAGACTCTCTCTCTCTGAGCTCTCAGAAATGGACTGGGCGGCTGTGATGGCTCACTCTGACTGTGCCACAAAAAGAGACCACAATGAAGCCGCGTGATGAACGAGTGCGTGTATTTTGCAGGTAATTCAGAATGGGAGTATAGCCTCATGTGGACCTTATGTAACAGAGGGAAGAGACAGTGTCCGTCAGGGCCTTTCAAGGTGATATCAGCACAGAGGGGAGGATTAAGGAAGATGGGAATCTCCCTTCTTCCGATGTTTACGTGACCCTCTTTCTGTGTTTGTCTCTGCTTCTTTCCTCTTTGCTTCCCCTCTCTCTGCCTTTTACCACGACAGTCTCTCTGTGTGTGGCTCCAGAGGAAGTGCTCCGGGTTCCCGATGCGATGAAGTAACGAGAAGCGACGTGGTGATTCAGCACTTTCTGCCCAAAGGCCACATCTGCTCTCGTTCCTCTGCTCTCTATATCTGTGTGCTCTCCCTTTCTTTACCTCCCTCTCTGTTTATCTATTGAGTATGCACTCCGCAGTTTGTGCCCCAGCACCAGTGAGCGTATTTACCTATATTGCATAAGTACTCATCAGAGGAGATTATAATGACTTTAAAATGACTCGTAGCGGAGGGTTCTGTTGGTTTGACTGCAGGTTGATGCACAGAGGAGCAGGCGTCGATGCTGAATGTCGCCCTGCAGTTAAAGCTCAAGCTTTGATTGGTTGGTATTTGAGAGCATACCGATTAGCCAACAAAACATTCACAACTGATTCACGGAGGTGGTGGGGGTATAAAAGTTCTTGTAATCACTGATTCTTACTGAGTCGTTTTTCCACAAACTGACAAATAAGCATAAAAACTACAAAATAAGAGAGAAACCCACACGTTTGGGTTGGGATTATTTTATATTTCTGTGGTTGCAGCAAAAAAGGTGCAGTTTTTATCGACTCAATCACATTTGTTGTACGATGACAACGACATGCATTTAATTTAAAGAACAGCATTACGTTTGTGCATGTCTGTGTGCTTGTAATCATCCATGCACATCATTTTAATTTTCTCCATCAGAGACCGAGACGGGAGTACACAGTGAGAGCAGGTGGGGAGGTGGAGCCGCGTATATCTCCATCAACATCTCACACACACACACACACACACACACACACACACACACATGAATTTACAAGTACCTGCACGCTCTGTTTCTGTTTTCAGTCATATAATTATACACAGTAGGAAAACTGTGAAATTTCACACAGAATTCAGCATTTTTTGTGGATAAGCTGTTCCTCGTTCCTGCGTATACTGAGTTTACCATAGAACTGTAGTCTTCATGGCGGTTATTAGGAATTCTCTGTGGCATCATGGTTCTCAGCTGCAGGTCCACACACACACACACACACACACACACACACACACACACACACACACACACACACAGAACTGACCTTATTACAGCCGGTGGTGGCGTCATGTTGACTTTATGGGGTCCTCTTGGTTTCGACCTCTGAAGTCTTGTACCTCTCAGCTGTTACTAGACCAGCGGCCTTTTCAGCCAAAGGGATGAGACAGAAACAACTCCACGGTGGAATGTGTAACCTTGTCATTTCCAAAATAGGATGTGATGGTTTTAAAAGTTCCAAAATTGTGTTGGGTAAAGCGTTTGTTTAAATGGCTAATCAGTTTACCTTTATAAATAATATATTATGATTTATTTGTCATTTTCTTGAGAATCTTTTAACACTTATATATGCTGAATAGTAAAAACTGTGCGCTGGTTTTATTGTGCAGCTTCCAGGATGAGCCCTTTAATTGATAGCCGATGCTGTATGTGTTCAATACCGTCTCTGTGAGGAGCACCTAGATAAACAGAAGGCTTGTGTTTGCTCTAAGAGGACCAGGCTGGAGGGAATACAGATCTGTGGCACTGGCGGTGTCAATACCGACTGACTAATAACCAGCGTTAGACTTATCCCTAAAGGCCCGTTGAGATTCAAGATCAACCATTTCATTTATGTCAAGGAAAGCAGTTAGCCTTTCAGCTCATTTAAATGCAACAGGAAGAAAAATATCCCCCTCTGTTGTTTCCTTTTACTTTTTCATGACTGTGCTGTTTTTTTTCTTCACGTTCTCCACTGTGGAGGACATTTTGTGAAGACAGTTTGATAAGCACAGCACTTAGAGCCTGTGCTATCTCTATAAATTCACACCTGATTAGGCTGTTAAACTAAAAGAGCCAAGCAAAAAATACAATCTCACCAAGAAGCCACAGGCAGCAGTATAGTCAGAATGAATGGTGCCAGCAAAGGAAGTTTGACATCCTTTTAA